ATGTTACAGGAAATTTATATGTCAGGAAAAAAGTATTTTGAAAATCTACAGAGCAATATAGATAACTAAGGTATGATAAATCTTTTTCTAAACATGCTGCATCAATAAAAACTTCAGTGCAATTTGCACAGAAATGAAAATGAATGAGAACAATATGATTAGGCAAAGAACCAAGCAGGCTTTCCTATTCTGTGGTGCTACAAATACAGATGTTTCAAACAGTAGTTTCAAAATGGTAATGTACAGTATAATTAAAAAAAAAAAAAAAAAAAAAAAAAAGTTCTTTTACCAGTAGGTGAAACAAAGTGATTAGTAATTTTATTTGGGATATTTTTACTTGCAATTTGACACATAAGGTCAGCATTTTCCCTTTCAGCAATCTGAGAGTGACATACGAAGCTATGCAGTCTCATGTGGCTCTCCATAACTCACACCAGCACCTCTATCACCAATATTTATTTATATTTTTATATAGAAATACAACTATGGTAAGCACTGTAGACATACACATAATGTACAAAGAAAAGATTTCTTTCTGACATATACTGTATATTTTTGAAAGCCTAGAGAAACAGCTATGAAGTGAACAATAAAAGACACTGCAATTACTACAGCTGCAGTCAAACAACGACTCTTCTTTCTATGCAGATGAACAGAAGACATGAGTTTCCTTACCTATTTTTATACTTATGCATCATACAACTGTGAGGTTGCCATACTTTTTCTCCAAGAAATCTCCCACTGGACAGAAGATACTCACATGTATCGCCACCTTGAAAATGTTATATTACGATTAGAATTCAGCTGCACGAAATGTAAAACATAGCTCCACTGCTATTATAAAAAATAATTTGACAATATTTGAAACACAAGAATTGGAACAATCAATGGCAGTAAACAAATATAACTTATCATAAAAACATCTTGCACAAGTTTCTGCAAGTTGCCTTCTTGTTTATTATACCGCCCTGCTCTGTAAATCACAACTCTCTACCCAAAATGTTAGTGATCCCACTTCTGTTATCAGAAAGACGTTGTGACCTAGAATGGCATTTCCTTTAAAAGATGCCAATTCACTGTGCTATCTACTATCCAGAGTACATCAGAATATGAAATTAAAGAATACAATTGTTCAATATAATAATCTTCTACACAGAATCATCATGCACAGCATCTTGTATAGAACATGAATCTCAACATGAGATTGGGAAGAAAGTTTATTACATCTCCCTGCTTAAGACTTAGCAGTCACCTTAGAACAGGTGAGTTAACCTGCTGGGTTAAAATGCAGAAAAACCCCAAAACATTTACACAAGAATTTGCTGATCATTAAGGACTTCAGGTACCTTTTCCACTCATTAAGTTTTACAGTAATTAAGATTAATCACTTTACAGGTGATGATGTTTCAGTCATGTTAAGTTCTTATAAATAAAGTTATGTAATCAGTGACTGTTATCTTCCCAACTCCACATCAGAATCTGCTGCCTTATAACTGAATGCAACAGAACACCATTCACTGCAAGAGAAGTTGCCCTCCAACATTTTTGTCATACTTGGCATTTCCGAGCTCTGACAACCAGGGAAATGGTGGTGAATGAAATGGTAGGGACTTGTGCTGCTTGTGCAGAAACAATGTACTGCTGCCCCTACTTGACACTTCCTGTGAAACCTTGACTTCATTAAACTCAACTTATATTTTGGCTTTCAAGCAACACAATTTCTCTAATTCTCAAACATGCACACTTATGTAAACTATCATTTTGAGTAAGTTGCAGAATAATGAAACGGTCAGGAATAATAAAAACCCAATCTAATCAAAAGCAACATGACACATTCTCACTGATAATGAGAATAGGTGACTCTGAGTTATTACTGCTACGAAGTCCTCCACTTTGCAGATGATGAAAACTAGGAGATGTATCAAAGTGATATGAATGAACCATATAAAAGAATATCTATCACTAATCAGATTCCCTCTGAAATCCATTAACTTGCTGAAAAAGATGCATAAGAAAATAAGAACAATTACTCATGGTCAGACCAATGGTCAGTCTAGCCTGGTATTCTGCCTTCAACAGGGACCATAAACAGATGCTCAGAGATGAATAAGAAGAAGGTAAGTAAACATTATGATCTTGTCTAATATTCTTCCAACTATGTTTAGTCCAGGGACTTCCTGAACTGGACATGCAGTCCTCAGCTTTTGGCATCCAGAGCATCCTTCTAAAAGAGTTTTCCATACCCACAGCTGATGCTTGAAGAATCACCTGCCTTTATTTTAAATGCAGTTTCTACTACATTTACTTGGCAGTTCCTTGTTCTTCCATAGGAAAAGGCAGTCTGGACTCATGTCTATTATGATCTGTAGACCACTATCAATCCTTCCTCATTTAGGTTTTCAAGACAGGAGAATATCTGTATCTTGAGTTCATGACCCAAGCTTGGTTCCTCAATACTCCATAGTTACCCACAAATGAAACAATCCTCCATCTACAGTATGTTCACTGATGTAACATTCCAAACATCACACATTGTATACATTTTAAACAGAGACAATATTTCAGGTCAAGAAGTTACACCTTCCCTCTCAACTCCAGGTACTGAATATCTCACTGTTGCACTGAGCAATATTAGAAAGCTCCTGAAACTCGTTAGGAGAGTTACTGATGTCTGAAATCTTCCTTTAAACATAATAGTAGAAGTCATGAGGAGAAGATGAGGGAGGGGAATAAAACCAGACTGGAACAGCAGCCAAGAAAGTAAACTGGAGGTTACAGACCAGACAGTTCCTCCAGAAATGCCCAAGTCTGGCTTAGGAAATGAAATATCAGCTGAAGAACAATGCTCATATTAATATACCACACCCTCTTCTTAGCTAGCAATGAGATGTTAAAAGAAAAAAAACCAAAACATAACAACAAAAAAACCCAACCTAAAACCTGAGAAAAAGAATTCCAAGAGCCATTCTATACACAAAACACAGAACATTCTTCTTAAACTCTTCCTTTGTGTAAGTTATCCTTCCAACATATTACCTTTTATGTTGGTATAGCTACACTACGGTATAGTTATACAAAGTGTATAATTTCTCTGAATTTTATTATGCTCATTATTCTAATTTATCATTCCTCAAAATCATGGTTATTCCACCGAAATTGTGAAATCTCTAAGTCTTCATTCAGTCCAGAACAGACTAAGTTTCACAATGCTTTCTCTAAAAGGCACACTCTCTGTTTCGAAAAATTGGAAATTCAACTGTTCTCTATCATTAAAAATGAAAAAAATGTAGTTTTAAAGAGAATCTACTAGTGCTGCTGGTGACCCCTAAATATAAGTTTCCCTGACCTTCCATAACCCCAGTCCAGCATTTTTTCATACAATTAACTTTAATACAGGCAAGTTTGACTGGGAATTGCACTGGGCTGCTCCTATCTATAATATGTACTTGCATGACTGAGGCCAAAATTAGCTGAAACCTTTACATGTAATGACAATCAGACAAAAGAAAAAGTATAAAAGCATGAAAAACACAGCAATCCCTTCCCTGGCATGGCCCAGCTTTCACAGCCTGGCAACTTTGAGCCTGTTTGCAGGCCCACCTCATCCACCCTCTGCAAATCAGGATAATGTTTTTTGGGAGTATTTTTGGTATAAAATCTTGGTACAGAATGTCTTGTGTAGAAAAAAAGTGCTTTCTTCTGATAATTTTAAATATATTGCCTGCTAATTTCATTTTTCAGTTGATACTTTTTGTGTTATGACACAATCACAATGAATTTACCTTTCCCCAATAATTTATAATATTTGAGACCGTTAACAAGTTACTAAGTTTCTGTCCAGGCTACAGAATTTCATTCTATTTCATTACTACTTATAGAGAAGCTGTTTGATTCTTCTGCTGTTTGTGTTACTCCTTTGTTCATGCTTTTCAAGTTCTATTATACCACTACTAAGAGGAGGTGACCAACACCACTAACAATAAGTGAGGTGCCAGTTAGCTTTAGCTGTGCAGCATCACAGCAAAATCTGCTTTTTTCATTAGTTGCCAAGAGTATTGTGACATTTGCTGGACTTCAGATGTCTGATATCACCGTAGGGTTGAAGAATGATTTCTCAAGCACCTCTGCTTTTATATATCCTTAAAACTCTTGTCTGCTACAAATCTTCCACCCTCCTTTCCTAAACCACTCATTCTTCTGAATGTTACCTGTTCAAAGAAGTCCAAACTGGTAACTCTCTATTCTCTCTGACTTCCATGTCCTCCTACCTTTTAAACAATTACAGGAAAACCTCTCACCCTCTAATTGCTTCAAAAAACTAAAAGACCTAGGCAAAAAAAACTTGTTGAAAGGTTTGTAACAATCCATACAGACCATATCAACTCACATAAAGTCCAATAGACTCTCACCATTTTGAATCTGTGACTCACCCCTCTAATTAACTCTCCCAAAATATATTGAAATTATGCATATTTTAGTTTCCCTGTAACCTGCTTGACATGGCAGTCCCTATTTTCTTAGGCTGGTCTTGCCACCCTCCTCCTGTCTAGTTTTGTGACTCTCTTGTGCCTTAAGAACACTGCACAACAGGCAAGTTTAATTACCTCATGCTTGAGCTCCTCTAGAATTTAGTAAATGCTTCTGTGTCTTCCAACTTAACACTAGTCAGTTTATCAGACTTATTGACATGCCAGCCAGAGGGTGAACCTGGGGAATTGTATCCATAAAGATCCCTACCCCCTTTCCCATTTCCACAGCGAACTGCCTCAGCCTTGACTTGCATGGATGCTGGCAGCAGGTGTTAGAACCCGACACCATTTGTCCTACAACAAGCAGAGCCGCAGTGATCTCTCTATGGATCAACTTTCTGATTTGCCCACAGAAACATACCACATTTTTTAGCGTGACAAGGAAACAAGAAAATATTTCCTTCAGCATTTCCATTTGCATTTACGGATCACGCCAAGATTCGCTGCTCCGAGGCCAAAACAACCCCGGAGAAGCGGAGCCGGCGGAGCTCCCAGCGCCCCGTGACCGCACAGGCGGGCACGGGCACGGCTGCGGTCGGTCCCGGAGCTCGGTCACCGCCTGTTCCACGGCCACTGACAACGCGTGAAACCGAACAGCTCCTCGGCTCGCTTCATCCGCCAGCGCGGCCGGACTCTGTTATGTTCGAGGCCATGGTTCAAGGAGTGAAATTCCATACACCAAGTCTCATACCAATTAAGACTTTAACCACTAATTGCCAAGGTAATTAATCATCCCGTAAGGGAACAAGTGACAGGGAAGAAGCCACCCTCTAGCCCTGCAGCTTCACCTGCCGCAGGCCGGGCCCCGGGAGCTGCGCTGCGCTCTCGGTGCAAACACCGCATCGCCACGGCCCCGCCAGCCCCGCTCACCCCCCTCGGCCTCGCCCGGATGGCGGGAACTGCAGTGACCCCCGGTCGGGCCCCGCGGGCCGGGTCCCCGCTCGTCTCCCGCCGACCTGCCCCGCCGCCCCGGCCCGCCGGGGAAGGGCCGCGCTTGCCACCCCCGCCGTCCCCCGGCCCGCCACGGCTGCCCCGGGCGGGGGAACCCGCCACCCTCCCCGGACGGCCGCGGTCCCGGGGCTCCGCCTCCCCTGCCCGGCAGCCGCGGCCCCCCGCGGCGCGCCCGCGGCCGCCCCCTCACCTCGATAGCGGCGGGAGGCGGCGTGGCAGGCGGTGAGGAGCAGGACGGCGCCCAGCGCCAGCGCCTTGGCGCTCCTCACGCTGAAGTAGTAGTTGATCTCCCGCTTGCCCCCGGTGTAGGCCAGCGCCGCCATCTTGGCTCCTCCATGACAACAGCGTGCGATGGGGCGGGCGGGCGCGGCGGGGCAGCACTGGGTCCCCGCCGGCGGCCAACGCGGACCCCGCCGGCTGCCGCCGTCCCCGCCGCCGCGGCCGAGAGCAGCCCCACGCCCCGCTGCAGCCGGGGCGGAGCCACCGCCGCCCTCCTGGCGCTGCCGCTTCCTCTCGGCCGCCAGCGGGCGGCCCCAGCGCTCGACTCCCCGCCCCGCGGCCGCCGTGGGGCTGCGATGGGTCCCGGTGGGTCCCGCCCTGCTCGGTCCGGGCCCCGCGGCTGAGGGGGCGGTGGTGGGGACCTCTTTGGGACCGTGCTCCGCGAAGGAGTACCTTATGCGTGACGGCTGGCACTGGACAGTGAGGGCTTCTTGCTAAATAATGCGATTTTAAGTACTTGTCACTCTTCTATTGACAAGGGAGTGGTCATTCCAGGCTGGGAGACGCTCACTCCCTCTGAACTCGGGTAAGTGTACAAGGAAGTTGACACAATCACAGAATCCATAAGGTTGGAAAAGATGTCTGACATCGAGTCCAACCTATGACCCAACACCACCATGTCAACTAAACCATGGCACTAAGTGCCACATCCAGCCTTTCCTTAAACATCTCCAGGAATGGTGATTCCACCACCCCCCTGGGCAGCCCGTTTCAATATCTAACCATCCTTTCTGTGAAGAAACTCTTCCTAATGTCCACTTAAGCCTCCCCTGGTGCAGTTTAAGACTAAGTCTTCTTGTCCTATCAATAGTTGCCTGAGAGAAGAGGCCAACCCCCATGGATTTAGCTGGATTTGAGGGGATGCATGGAATGATTGCTGAAGTCTTACAAAAGGGAAATCCTGTTCCTCCACAAGCAGCTACCTGAGTCGTACCCGGGTAAAGATACAGGGTAGCAAATCTGGGCTCCGAGTCCAGTCCCTCAACAACAGGGGAGTTGGGAAGCAGCCACTGAACCCGCCAGGCCCGGAGCAGGACAAGCTGTCACAGGAAAGACATTTCCACAAAATAAAGTAACCACATATAAACCATATAAACAAATATAGAACTTAGGAAAAGTGTGCAGTATGCAGTCAGATAAATATGGGAAACAAATATGGGAAATAAACAGTGAGCAGTTGCCAAGCCTTGGGTGATTATGAAGTACGTACTGTGCTAGACAGATTCTCTCAGATCCAGCAGAATTCTTTTCATTAGGATTGGCCGAAAAAAAATGAACAGAAAAAATGTTGTTTGTTTTGGGTTTTTTTTAACCGAACAGGTAAACAATAATAACGAACGATCTGAGTTCTGAACAAACAAAAAGTTCCATTTTCATTTCACCAACCTTCCATTTCCCTGTCATTCAAGAAACACTACTCTGAAAGTTCTGAAAATCATTGAATTTGATTATTCATTTAATAATAGATGAAAAAAATAACTGTGTGTGTGGGAAAAACAGTGAAATATTTGAAACAAAAAACAGGAAGTCTATCCACTCAAGCAATGTTTTATTTTGAAATATTACCTGAGAAACAGAAGAATTTAAAGTATTATTCAAACACAATGTAATGTGCCTGCAAAATTTGAGTTCAGGTATTCCTCTATTACTATATGTTCAATGTATTGATATTGATATGTTCATTTCCATCCAACCAATGTCTTTACTATCTGCCAACATATAATCTATATTTTTTTCTATTCAAGTCTGCCTGTTAATCACTTTCTCAGCATTGTTTTTAAATTATAAAAACACTATATTGAAGTGCTTAGATTTATTCTCTCAGGGATAGAGGGAGAAAAGATATCCCTTAAACTCCCAAGTATACAGATGGGTGGTTACTGGGTTATGTTTTTCTTAAAAAAAAAAAAAAAAGGCAACAAAACCAAACTAAAATAACAACAAAAATCCAAACAAACCAACCACCTCAATTCTGGTTGTAGTATGGGTTATTTTACTCCATAAATGAAAAATTCCCATTGATGCATAATTTTTGTCTCATGTATCATTCAAAAAGCCAAGAACTTTCAAAGCCTGCATACTGTGAACAAACTTTATTGTTTGTTAAAATATTTCTGTTAGTGCTTAGCTTTCTTTGTCCTCATTTCACATGCATTTTACACTTTAAGGAGCAATTTAAATATTTTTTAACACCTCTAACTGAAAACACTCACTAGAATGCCGGTAATTTACTCATAAGTTAGAATAAGGTGAATGAGGAGGAATGGCGACTTTCTATTCAATTTAGAAAATAAGTTTAAATTGGATAGATGTAATTTACACAGGTATAATTTAGATGAGATAGTTCTTCCTTTAATGCTTCCTGACTTTGTTTGGCAGGCTCAGTGTACATAGAAGGAGAACTTTGTGCCATGAGTCAGACCTGGCATGCACATACAATTTTACTGATAGGCTTTGTTCATGGTAGATCTTCTTCAGCATTACAGCATTACTCCATGTTCTGGAGTTGGAGCTGCTGTCCTCAGTCAAAGGCACAAGGCAGTCACAAGGACTGGAAACATGTAAGAAGATAAAATGGCTACTATAGTATAAAGTCAGCTATTATAGAGAGCTGGTATTTAAACATTTTCAGTCAGAGGAATAGTAGGGCATTCTCATATGGTATTTTCCCTTTAGAGTTTTTGTATGTTTATAAGAGTGTAATTAATTTTTCACAAGTATATATAGCAAGGAATATAAGCACCAATGGTGGAAGAAAGATTAAATTACCTTTAATCTATAAGTTTCATGAGGAAAATATTCATGTGTTCATAAGGAACATACTATTTGTTGTATAACAATCCTAAACATCCACTGGTCAGATTACGTGACCAATACGTCTGTTCTAGAACAAGCAGCAGTCACAAGTATAGAGGCCATGTTGCTGAGAACACAGCTGCGATGGGCAGGACACGTCTCAAAGATGAAGGACCACCGCCTCCCTAAGATCTTGCTTTATGGCGAACTTGCCACTGGCTGCCGCAAGAGAGGAGCCCCAAAGAGAAGATACAAGGACTCCCTGAAACAACATCTCAGCCTTGGCCATATTGATCAACATAACTGGTCTACTCTGGGCTCCAATCGGGAGGTCTGGAGACACGCCATCTATAACACTGCTGCTTCTTTTCAGAAGGCAGGGTCACTCTCAAGGAGAAAAGACAGCACAGAAAGAATTGTGTCTTGCCGAATATACCACCTAAGGAGTCTTTCTGCTGTGCCTTTTGCAACCGGACTTGTGTATCTCGTATTGGCCTTTTTAGCCAAGTGCGCTTCTAACAAATGTGAGTAGAGCCCTTCCCAAATCTTTGTTCACGAAGCCTGCCCATGATGATGATTTGTTATATACTATAACTGGAATATTCCCTACATTAACTTACAGGTTGTGTTGAATAATTAATTAGTAGGATTTGCCATACCCCAAACCATATCACTTCTCAATTTAAATGGAGAAGCATTGCTGGATTGTGCTGGTCATATTGCAATTCCAGAAATAAAGCTGCATTTCCAACGTGTTCCTGGACAGTGTATTATTTTCGGTAGTGCAGCTTTTGCTTTGGCAACTTTTGTGTACTCGCCAAATGATGGCATCAGACATTTTAACTGCTGAGTTTTCAGCCTCATAATGGCAATCAGTTTTTCCTAAGCGTCAAGTTTCCACGCGGTGTGTGCATGCATGGTAGTCACCTATTGCAAATATTTAATTGCATTAATGAAGAGGGAGTACAGATAATAAGAAAGTTTTTTCTCAGTGGACTTGTTCAATTAAGCACTGTAACATGTGTACTGTTGCAGCCAAATGCCAAAACAAATATGCCCCCAAACCTGTAAGATCTTGGAAGTTCTATCACAAATTACTGCTTTTACAGATTTCTAATTTTGTAAAAGTTATAAAAATGGTTCCTCAATAGTCTGTACTAAAGTCAAGCTGATATTAAGTGAAGTAGTTATGAAATCACGCGTATGAAGGCCTTACTTAACTTTATCCCTAAGAGATAAATACATCTGCAGTTCTATAATATGAAGCTTAATAGTGTTTTTGTTTAGGGTTTCTGTGGGTCTGAAACAGATGTGGATTGGAGGGATGAAGACAGGAAAAGGAAATAGGCATACTGCAAATGCTTATGTCATCTGTCCCCTTTCATTAAGGACAGTCAAGGGGCTACACCTTTCTGCATCATGGGTTGTGTCATCTCTGTGCAGCTACAGAGTTCTGAGTCCAGGCTGGGACTCTGCTCAGCTCACTAATGGAAATCTATTTTTCTTTCAGCTGCTTAGATTCTTATCCTCAAAGCTTTGTATCCATCAGGGTTATAGGTTAAGAATTTTCAATTTAGATGAGTTTTTTTGGTATTCAGGTACAATTTTTTTCTATTCCCCCCCTCTCTTTTCTTGACTCCTGGTTGAGGGAAAATGGCAGTCACTGTTAGTTCCTTGTCAAATTGAGTAATTCTT